AGTAAGTGTGCCTCCACCTTGCTGGGTCAGGCCTCCTGATGCCGTCACATACGGGACAGGCCCAGGGGAGCACTCACCTGACCACAAGGATATAAGGGGGGCTGACTGCTCGCACACCCGGGGTTTCTCAAGAGGAGAGGTTGCTGCCCTCAGCACAGGTGACTCCTCACCTGGCCCAACTGCCTCGTGCCACAGAGAAGCCCGTCGGCTCAGCAGAAGTTCCCCCACTTGAGATTCTGAGCAGGGAGGGTCAGGGGAGGCTGTGCAGGGAACCTCAATAAATGACAGCACTTTATGACACTGCCATGGGCCTTCTCCCCAACATTAGAGTTCCTGCTCAAACAATTGTCAAAACATGGAAAAAATTTAATCAAGGACACTTTGAAGGAACTGCCGGATGAAATTCTGAAAGATAATTACAAGTCCAGGTGAGTGCAAGTGCAGGCAAAGCCTTGTGGGAGGAGAGTGCTCACCACACACCTGCATGGCGGGGTGGCGAGAAGGTGTCCCCAACCGCCACCCCTCGGCCCTGCCCGCTGATGTGCCCACATTGTGCCTTCAAATGTCTGCATGTCCAGACCTTCACCCCCCGTGGTCTGCTGCCAGATGGCTTCTGGGATCTAAGCCCCCGGTGGCCTCCTGTGACCCGGCCTGTTTCTGTCCCTCATGGCGCTCCAAGGTGGGGCAGGAGGTTAAGTTTCCAGGCTTCTGTGAGTCTAACCTTCTTCCTCTGTGTCTGTGAAGCTCTTCCACAGGAGTATAGTATGAGCCTGAGCCTGAAGCTGAAGAGCAGAGCATGGAGTAAGTGGAGCAGCATGTGCCATTCAAGACTCAGTTCCGCAGCCACTTTCCTCTCTACGGACTGAAATTGCACAGGACCGATGACACTCCGGCACCAGCATCTTGGTTCTGGATGAAATGAGATCTCCACACTTAAACCTCATTCATTAGTCGAGCTAAAGCAATAAAATTGACTGTATCCACCTTACCATGTGCCTGTGCTCTGTGGGCTGGGCCCTAAAACGCAGGGTTGGGGGAGGGGAGAACCCTCCCAGGAGGGACACCAGGAGGGTGACCTGGCCAGGCCCTGGGCCAGCCCAATCTCCCTGGGGGACGCAGCCCCCACACAACCATTGAATCACCTGAGTCAGTCACACGGGCTGAGCTTCTCCTGCCCAGACTGCAATCCAGCTCTGCTTGGCCCCTGGTTCCTCACACAGACCCTTAGCAACGCGTCCCCATGTCCAGACACTAAATCAACACCATCGCGGTAACTGTCCGCACCACCATGGGGAGCAGAGATTTACACCTTATTCATCCTGCGCCTTGCTCACTGTCCAACAGGAAAACACTTGCACACCTGTTTTCCTCACTAGACTGCAGGCACCACGTGGGCAGGGATTCCTGCCTCTCCCTTCACAGGTGCTTCCCCGCTGCCTAGCAGTGCCGAGGACACAGAATCACAGAGTCATGATCAGCTGAAGGTTGCATGTTCATCCACTCCACACGCATCTCCATTCACACCCTGTGGAATTCACGCCTGCTCCTCTCTGGTCTCAGAATATGGTTTTGGCACAAATGCTGCCTCTTTACCAGATCAGTCACTGTGAGAAGCCGGCCTGTGGGGGAGCCCGCTCAGTGTCTCCAACGCACCAAGGTAATAGATGCGGAACAAGTTGTCTGTGTACGGAGAGAGACTCCCACAGGCATCGCACAGCAGGGCCCCACTGGCCATAAGGTGTCCCCAACATCCCCACTGAATGTTGCACCAGCCTCCTGTGATACCTTCTCTGGCATCACAGGTATTCCACACACCCCAGGTATTCCACACACACCCCAGGTATTCCAACTACAAAGGAGAAAAACTTCAGCCACGTCACATCCAACACTGGTGACGTGAAGGCTGTCATCTTGAAAAAGCTTGGCGAAAGGGGACAATCCCAGCCCGCATGAAATCTCTTTCCACCACAGAGAAGTGACAACATTTCAAGGGGCAGAGACAAACAGAAAGGGAGGAACAGGGTAATCAGAAGAAAAGGCAGAGAGCTCCCCCGTGTGCCGGGGCTGTGCACTGTGCCAGCACCTGGGGAGGAGGCGGGCAGGTCTCTGGAACCCACCACTCAAGGCACAAACCCCTGCTATGCAGAAGGAGGGCTGGGCACAGCCTCCATCTCCCTCCCCACCCAAGTTCACTAAATGACAATAATAACGATTTAATAAAAACAGCCTTGATTCTCAGTTGGTAGGTAACCACCCTGCTTTCTGGAGTGACTGCATTTTAAGGTCACATGTAAGTGATCTACTAAACAATTATATACAATAAAGGGAAACACTCAACCACACAAATCCAAGTGTAAGGGGAAACAGGGAGTTTATCCACCACTGTCTTATCTCTGAAATAAGTTAAATAGATTAAAACAAAAACAATAAACACAAGTATGTAAGTCAAAAGCACTTAAAACCCCAATCACACTTTCCTGAAGAACTGCTGCCAAGGACAGTGAACCTGGAGCCAACTGCAGGAGGAAACCGTCACCCCAACACAGATCTGGGCAGATGGTCCAGCGAGCACAACCTCTTTCGTCCACGTGTATTCAAAGGCGCAAAGACAGGAACCGTGTCTGGAAGCAGATTCAGCGCAGGTGCGATGACTGCTCCTGGCTAGGAGGACGGAGCACCCAGGAAAGGAAAACGAAACTGAAGACAGTGACCCTTGACAATAAAGAAAACTTGGATGAGGTGGAAGAGGGGAATGCGAGCTGTTAAAACGGCAGCATGTCCTTGCCATGTATCGGTGAGGGGCACATAGTATTTCTCTTGGTTGAGTCACAATCTCCTATCAGAATCGGCCGTGTCTTTATAAAGGCCACAGTGGTCATGGGGACATGTCCTTTCCAGGCAGTCATTGAGGGATTCAGCTGGGCAATTGCTCAGCTTTCACACCTGCCTGACAAAGGTTGTTCAGTCATCAGCAACACCAGTCCCAAACACTAGCTGGAAAGGAGCGTGGTCAGATCGCATGGAACTTAGCGTAGACGCCACCATCAAAGGACTATGTTGTTGGCAAGACTCAGGGTCATGGCCATGGAACTGCAAAGAGCGAGAAATTTCTGTTGGAAATGTGACCTAATGAAGGCTGTGCTCCTTGGGAAATTTCTCCACAGGGCAGAGTAATCAAAACCACGGGTGAGTGTTTTCATTAGACATTCCTGAGGCAGGATGGTTTCCCTTATAACCAGTGAAAGAGCCACAGAAAACATTCCCACTCACTCTACTGCTCCACTGAGGGCCTGGAAGCAACCTGGGATTTCACATTGCTCATCAGTGGATTTAGAAAAGGAACAAAAGGCAAATGGCTGCCTGGAGGTTGCCAGGCCAAAGAGAGGAAGTAGAACATGCTGTGAGGCTTGAGATATGGACCACACCCAGGACTAAGGCAATGATCACTCCCAGAGGATCCACAACAATGGCAGTGACTGGAATTAAGCCAAACATCATGACAGGGTCACTTAAAGTTGTCTGGAAGGCAGAAAGGCTTTAAGATTAGAAACTGGATGGGCTCTTGCCCATCAGAGGAAGCAAAAACACAGAGACTGTGAAATACAACGTGAAGGGAAAGCTGTTATGTGAGGGCATATTTGCAAGCACAGTTTGCAGAATAATAATTTTCCAGCGAGCCCTGAGTGATCAATTAATGCATTTTTAACAAAGTTAACATTAAACACAATAACCTGGATTTTACACCATAAAGACAGCCTAGAAAAGCACACTCCCTTCTAAAGGAATCTTCTATCAAATCTACTAAGAGTTCAGCTCCATTCTCAAATTGATCACAAAACAAAGAGAAGACAATGGGAAAGCAGCAAGGCCAGTCCCAGTGGATCTAAGAAGAGAATTGATGATTTTTATACTATTTTTAAAAATTCATTTTATCTAAGTTAGAAGGTAAAATACTACATACACATGATGTATTGTAAAGTAGCAAGAAAGAAAAATCAACTGATCTCATGGGGAAATCTGCAATTCACTGGAAGGGTCTGCGTGTCCACAGCAGCCCCTGGTGGGTCAGCACAGCTGCCCGAGTGAACAGGCATGTCCAGGTGGCACCAGAGCCTCCTGCCCACTCCCCGCCCAGAGGTCGAGGCACAGTTACTCTTCCTCACTGGGCCTGCACTTGCTGCCTGGCCACGGCTATCCTGGCTTGTCCACATCCCCTGCCAGATACCTGCAGGCATTGAAATGCATAACATTTAGTCCCAACCTTTCTCTCAACAACCTATCTGGACATTTCTATCTACAAAAGAGGAGGGAACATCTCTCACTACCCCTCTGGGATATTCTTGCGTTTGTGAAATAATCAAGTGATCATCAAAGAGTTTAGAAGGAGCAGAAAAATTGATTTAATCGCATGTGTACAGGAACGTAGGAATGCAGAGAGAGGATTCCAAAGACAGGGAGGCAAATCCGGGCACCTACCTAGTTAAGAGGACAGGGGATTTGGGCTCCATGGGGACTGTAGGGTCAGTGCCTGACTGTAGGGTCAGTGCCAGGAATTCACACATCAAAGGACAAATGCTCTGCCCAGGAACTCAGAGTGGCTCTTCACAGAGAGGTCACACCGTGTAGCAACCTCCTTCTGATGAGAACCCTATCTACAGGCTTCTGGGTAATTGGGGCCTGATGGAAGTTTCTCCAGCATGTGCCTGGCTCCACTGGCCTCCGCTGGAAATAACCTGTGTGTCAACAAGGGGCACTGTGGGAAGGCCTGACCTTCTCAAGTGAAGGTGCTGAGCACATGGCGCCAATAGAGACCCTTTCTTGGCCCCCAGGCAGGAGGGGACAGTCCTTGGAGTTCTCTGTGGATGAGGGGTGCTCTCCCTGGACTCCCCACTTCCCCTGTAAAGCCAGGCATAGAAAATGAGAGTCCTTCCCCGTAAGGTGTGGAAAGCTTTCTCCAGTGGCATATAAGATTTCTCTTTACCTCCACACACTACCTGGCGTCCATGAGTGTCGCAGGATCCACATGTTGGTTGCACAGCGAAGGCTGGTGTATGTCAACATCACTGAGCCACTGTGATCAACATGACAGACAAAGGGTACGAGGAAGGCTCTCCATGGCTTTATGACCCGTGTCCTGCCAGAGAAAGAGGCAGACTTAGGAGGGGCTTATTTTAGAATCTTACAGAAAAATAAGTATGTTTTGCTGCAGATAGGAACTTCCACCAGCATATCCCATCACCACCCCGGAAAACCAAGCAGCGACAGGAGGAGACGTCCTTCCTGAGACCAGACAGGACATGGGGCTGGGGAGCCAGCCCCCTGCAGAAGCTGCAGGAGAGAGGAACACACACTCCCACAACGTGCTTGGTTGATTTTCTGGCTGCACAACATTTCCCTTCTCCTGGCAGCTCCAATAACATCATGTTTACCTCCCGGGTGCTGTGAGCGGGCCCAGGTCACTCACTGGGTGCTCTGCTCAGAGGCTCTGGCAGCTGCAATGAAGGGACAGTGGAGACTGAGGTCACCTCCAGGCACACCCACAAGCTCAGGGACAGGCTTGTAGGCTGCCAGGATGGGGACCCTCTTACTGCAGGGGAGGCTTGCCTAGTCCTTCCTGTCTGGCCCTCTCCACAGAGGGCCTCATAACAACAGAGGAAACACGCTATGAGATTCCCCTTGAGTGAGCATGACACAGAGAGTGTGTGTATGTATGTGTGTGTATGTTGTGTATGTGTGTGTATGTGTATGTGTGTGTATGCAAGACAGAAGTCACATTCTTTCATAATCACTTCATAATCTTAGACAGACATCACTTTCACCATTTTCTATAAAGCAGAAGAAAATTACTAGGTTGAGCACATGCTTGACAGAGGGGATGACATAGGACATGAATACCAGGAGGGGACACTGGGCACTGTCTGAGCATCCCCAGACCACACGTACCAAACCGGAGGGAGCAGGAGGAACAGGGTCTGCCGCTCTGTCTTGCCATCTGGTCACTTCTCACCACGCGCCCACAGGCCGGTCAGGACTAGGAGCTGGGGCACAAGGGAGTCAGGTGCTTGATCCACAAAGGTCATCCTCAGACCACGCAGAGATGGAAGGAAACACAGGGACGCAGAGAATGGACAGCAGGTAGTCAGGACTGAGGAATGACAAGACTAGCCATGGACAGTCGTGGAATCATATTCCCTGGAAGACAAGACACCACAGAGGACAAGCCGCTCACTCAGACCATGGAGTGGCCTCTTTCCTTTCATATTCCTGCCCTGTTCAAACAAAGGACCCATATTTAGAGCAACAGTGAGCTTGGGGATTTCTGCACCTCACCACCCGCTGTCACTGCCCGCCCGTCTCATCTCTGAGGCTGGGGTGAGCCCGGCAGAGGGAGAGGGCTGAGCAGGGACATCAGAAATGCCCTGATCTTGACAGATCTAGCTTAAAATGACAACACAAATAATATGCCTGGTAGATACTTTGTTGTAACACGTGATTTAAGTAAGAAGCTGTAATCCCAAAAGACCTAGAGTGTTGTCAAAGAATGTTACCTCAATTGAAAACTCCCTGAAACTCTTGCCACGCCAGTCATCAGAGCTGCCATGAGCTGGAGACCACAGAGGCCCGGTCCCTGCCTGCAGCCCGGCCTGAGGAGAGTCAGCACCAGCACACGCAGAAGCTCAACTTGGTGTCTGGACTCGGCTTCTCCCCACCCAGCCCCTCACCCGGCCCCTCTTTTGCCAAAACTCTCTTCTTTCACCACTGAGCACCACCCTGCACCAAATCTATACACACCACGTGCCTTCTGTGAGGAACTAGGACGCCTCAGCCCTCGACAGGAGTTTGTGGTCTAAAATCACATTGACCTATAGCTTCTCACTAAACCCCAAACTCTCCCGTGATGACAAAGGAAAGCCCCACAGAGTTTGTCTGCCGATGACAGCGATGTCCCCTGTGTGCAGCACAAATGCAGAACTCAAACCCGGGTCCTCAAATCCCTACTCCAAGGAGCAAGGACTCATAATTCACAGGGAATTGTTTGCTTATCTGGGTTTTCCCCTCATGGATCAGCATCCACGTCAGGGAGCACCATCTGGCAACACCAGGAATGATTACCCTCCTGTAACCACAACGTTCTCACGGCGATGAGGACTGAAGACGGGGTGCCTGCAGGGGCTTGGGGGCATCCTCCCAGGACGTAGACAACCAGTTGAAGGCAGGCAATTCCCAAAAAGACATTGGTATATTTAGCCACCCCGTGTGGAAGGGAGGGAGGTGGGAGCTCAGGCACTGTGGCCTGAAGAGAAAGGATCACTCCTGAGAGAAAGTCTCCCAGTCCCTGGAATGAGTCCAGGGGAGGCTGAGGTAGGAGGCCGGCGCGTGATGTCCCGAGCCACGAACCTCCTGTGGAAAGTCACCAGAAAGGAGGAAACCTACCCATAACCTCCAGAGACACATTCCAAATCCTCCCGCAAGACTCCCTCTGCCTCGGGGCCCGGAGATCCCAAAGATATGAACCCAAAGGGCAAGTGGGGTGGGGAAGGGGCAAGAGGAGCGGGCATGCTCCGGGTTACAGGTAGGCCTCCCACAGGCCCAGTCCTCGGCCAGCCTGGGCGCGCCCTGTGGACCTATCAGGGCACCTCGGGGGAAGAGGGCAGAGGACGCGGAGGTCACGCGTGTTTACGTGGTTCCTATTGGCCCTTTATCTCCTTAAAAGGGGCCCAGTGGTCAGCCTGGACAGTATCCTGGACCCTCTGCGGATTCTCTGGCTGCGTCACCCCATCCCTCAGCATGAGAGTCCTCGCTCTGCTGTTCCTGGCGGCTCTGGCCGGGACCCTGGTTCTGGCTGGTGAGTGTGGCCTTCCCTGCGCCCCCCGCTCTTCCATCTCTGCCTGAGCTCTGCCCTCCCCTGTCTCTCTCCCTGTGCCCTCCTGCTCCCTCTACCTCTTCCAGCGTCTGCCCCCCCCTGCTCCTGCACATGTTGCCTCCTCACCCCACTGAACAGGAGGGACCCCTGCCTCTCAGGCTGTCCGGGCTCCCCCTCCACACAGCCCCTCTCACCATGGCTGCAGCCTCGCGGCTCCTGCAGGAGCTCTGGGCCCCCAGGCACTCGGGCCATGGTCCCTCCAGGCAGCAGCAGGGGCTGCAGAAGGACACAGCCCGGGACCCGCGGGCCAGGCCCAGTGCAGCCTGTGGTGGGGACTCTCAGGCCCTCCTGCAGCACAAGGCGCTGCTCCTGCTGGGAACACCCCGCTGCCCCTCTCACATCAGCTCCCCTCTCGTTGGTCTTTCACCTACCAGACAGCTTTCTCTCCCCCTGTCCCCGCACAAACCAACAGGGAAGGTCGCCTGACTGCACCTTCCTCCTCTGTCATCTCTACCGAGAGACGATTCCTCCAAAGAGCCAGCCATGCACAGCAGAATAGATTAGACCCTGCTGGCTCTCTCTGGAGACTTGGCTGAATGTCCCTTCCAGCACTACCCACACGGGGGGCGCAGGATTCCATCACGGGGTGCAGCTTCCAGGCAGGGGCGTGTCCGCCTTCCTCACATTGAAGCTGCATCAGAACCCCCTGGCCTGGGCCCCGGGCTGCGCTGTCCTGCACACTGGGGAGCTGCACCCCCTGCCACGGTGCTGGCCCTCACAGGGACCTCAGGCGCCTCCCAGGCCGCAGCCAGCAGGGAAGAGAGTTTGCAGGGAGAGTCACGCAGCTCCGAGCGGCCCCTGGTTAGAAACCTGCACGAGGACGCCCGGTGCAGCCGCAGAGAGAGCAGCTGCTGGAAGACATGATGCGGCCCAAGGGCACGATGTCCCCATGTCCTTAGTTTGCTGACACCTGAGGATGAGGATGAGGGGGGCTCAGGTGTCTGGGGTCAGTCCTCACTGTGTGTCTCATCTCTTGCAGACGATGACCCCTCCGAACGCAAAGAGCATGTCTCCCTGGACACTTTGATTTGTAAGTCCCCCCGCTCCCGCTCAGGAGGACGTGGTCTCCCCTGGGAATGGCATGGAAGCTGGGAGAGAGATCCTGGGGATGGGGTTTGGTGTCCTTACGGAGTGATCATGCCGGGAGCATGGACTGGGATGGAACAAGGCCAGGACCACTAGGAGCGCCAGGCAGCCTAGTCACGGGGAGACAGGGGGCAGGTTTCTCAAGAAGGACAGGACGCGAGATGAGATTAAGGGATAAGGAAACACTGTCCTGCTGTTAATTCCTCACCCTCAAACATAACCCTTCGCTGCTCTGTCCATGTTATTACACCCCCACCAGCTTCTACCTCATTTTCCAGCCTCTTTCCAACTTCCTCATGTGCCACCCACTCGCCTAAACAGACCACACGGCCCCACACACGCCTGTCCCTGCGACCCTTCCCGCTTACTCTGCTCCTCTAAGGAAGCCCCTTCAGCATCTTCCCTCCTGACCCCTGCCGCCAAGGCCCAGCTTCTCTCTCAAAAGCTGCCTGTTTCTCCCCATACCCGGGGCCACACCCTCCACGACCTTCCTATGAGAGGCCCCTGCCCTGCCCTCTTCCCAGAGACACCGTCAGTCCATGCAGGCCGCTACAACAGCCACCATGGCTTAGACTACGGAAATCTATTGTCACAGCCCCGGCGCTGGAGTCTGAGGTCAGGGAATCAGCGTGGTCGGGACGGGGGAGGACCCTCCTCTAGGCTGCAGACCCAACCTCTTGTAGCCTCACTTGGCTGAAAGACCAGCAGAGCGATCTCTCTGCTCTCCGTTTCGAAGGGCCCTAATTGCATCCATGGGAGCCCCACCCAGTGACCTATCACTCTGGGGTTACACGGTCCATATAGGAATTAGGGCATCAACAGATGTTTGTCCACCCAGCCTATAGCATGTACAGGTCCTGGCATATACAGATGTTGTAGCATATATATAGATCTCTCTCTAGCAGGCAACAGTTATACAGTGTCTCGTGTTCATCCTGCACCCAGTGTTACGTATCCTGAGTCGTGACACAATGCAAAGGAAATCAACAAAGCGCCAGAATTTACCATTCTTAAGACATGCAGAGCCCGACTGAGCATGTGCCGGGAGAGCCACATGTGATACCTGTTTTGGAAAAAACAAAAACTTTGCCTTTACTAATCTCAAAACTTGACGTCTTACAGCTCAGCTGGAAGAGAAGACCATGACTCCTCCAATAGATGGGGTGCCGGGAAACTTCGAGCGTAAAAACCGAGGGCTCCTGAGTAAGTGTGCCTCCACCTTGCTGGCTCAGGCCTGCTGATGCGGCCACATACGGGACAGGCCCAGGGGAGCACTCACCTGACCACAAGGATATAACGGGGGGCTCACTGCCCCCACACCCGGGGTTTCTCAAGAGGAGAGGTTGCTGCCCTCAGCACAGGTGACTCCTCACCTGGCCGAACTGCCTCGTGCCACAGAGAAGCCCGTCGGCTCAGCAGAAGTTCCCCCACTTGAGATTCTGAGCAGGGAGGGTCAGGGGAGGCTGTGCAGGGAACCTCAATAAATGACACTGCCATGGGCCTTCTCTCCAACATTAGAGTTCCTGCTCAAACAACTGTCAAAACATGGAAAAAATTTTATCAAGGACACTTTGAAGAAACTGCCGGATGAAATTCTGAAAGATAAACTTAAAAATCCAGGTGAGTACAAGTGCAGGCAAAGCCTTGTGGGAGGAGAGTGCTCACCACACACCTGCAGGGCGGGCGGCGAGAAGGTGTCCCCAACCGCCACCCCTCGGCCCTGCCCGCTGATGTGCCCACATTGTGCCTTCAAATGTCTGCATGTCCAGACATTCACCCCCCCGTGGTCGGCTGCCAGATGGCTTCTGGGATCTAAGCCCCTGGTGGCCTCCTGTGACCCGGCCTGTTTCTGTCCCTCATGGCGCTCCAAGGTGGGGCAGGAGGTTAAGTTTCCAGGCTTCTGTGAGTCTAACCTTCTTCCTCTGTGTCTGTGAATCTCCTCCATGGGAAGAGTTTGAACATGGAGCTAGAGGGGACAGTGTGGGGTACTGAGGAGCAGCGTGTGCCCTTCAAGACTCAGTCCCGCATCCACTCTCTGCTCTACGGACTGAAATTGGACAGGACCGAAGACACTCCGGCACCAGCATCTTCATTCTGGATGAAATGAGATCTCCGCGCTTAAACCTCATTCATTAGTAGAGCTAAAGCAATAAAATTGACTGTATCCACCTCACCATGTGCCTGTGCTCTGTGGGCTGGGCCCTAAAACGCAGGGTTGGGAGGAGGGGAGAACCCGCCCAGAAGGGACACCGGGCAGGGGTGACCTGGCCAGGCCCTGGGCCAGCCACAGTCTGCCTGGGGGACGCAGCCCCCACACAACCATTGAATCACCTGAGTCAGTCACACGGGCTGAGCTTCTCCTGCCCAGACTGCAATCCAGCTCTGCTTGGCCCCTGGTTCCTCACACAGACCCTTAGCAACGCGTCCCCATGTCCAGACACTAAATCAACACCGTCGCGGTAACTGTCCGCACCACCATGGGGAGCAGAGATTTACACCTTATTCATCCTGCGCCTTGCTCACTGTCCAACAGGAAAACACTTGCACACCTGTTTTCCTCACTAGACTGCAGGCACCACGTGGGCAGGGATTCCTGCCTCTCCCTTCACAGGTGCTTCCCCGCTGCCTAGCAGTGCCGAGGACACAGAATCACAGAGTCATGATCAGCTGAAGGTTGCATGTTCATCCACTCCACACGCATCTCCATTCACACCCTGTGGAATTCACGCCTGCTCCTCTCTGGTCTCAGAATATGGTTTTGGCACAAATGCTGCCTCTTTACCAGATCAGTCACTGTGAGAAGCCGGCCTGTGGGGGAGCCCGCTCAGTGTCTCCAACGCACCAAGGTAATAGATGCAGAACAAGTTGTCTGTGTACGGAGAGAGACTCCCACAGGCCGCACAGCAGGGCCCCACTGGCCCTAAGGAGGCCCCAACATCCCCACTGAATTATGCACCAGCCTCCTGTGATACCTTCTCTGGCATCACAGGTATTCCACACACCCCAGGTATTCCACACACACCCCAGGTATTCCAACCACAAAGGAGAAAAGCTTCAGCCACGTCACATTCAACACTGGTGACGTGAAGGCTGTCATCTTGAAAAAGCTTGGCGAAAGGGGACAATCCCAGCCCGCATGAAATCTCTTTCCACCACAGAGAAGTGACAACATTTCAAGGGGCAGAGACAAACAAAAAGGGAGGAACAAGGTAATCAGTAGAAAAGGCAGAGAGCTCCCCTGTGTGCCGGGGCTGTGCACTGTGCCAGCACCTGGGGAGGAGGCGGGCAGCTCTCTGGAACCCACCACTCAAGGCACAAACCCCTGCTATGCAGAAGGAGGGCTGGGCACAGCCTCCATCTCCCCCCCCACCCAAGTTCACTAAACGACAAAAATAACGATTTAATAAAATTAACCTTTTTTCTCAGTTGGTAGGTAACACCCCTGCTTTCTGGAGTGACTGCATTTTAAGGTCACATGTAAGTGATCTACTAAACAATTATATACAATAAAGGGAAACACTCAACCATACAAATCCAAATGTAAGGGGAAACAGGGAGTTTATCCACCACTGTCTTATCTCTGAAATAAGTAAAATAGATTAAAACAAGAATAATAAACACAAGTATGTCAGTTAAAAGCACTTAAAACCCCAACTCACACTTTCCTGAAGAACTGCTGCCAAGGACAGTGAACCTGGAGCCGACTGCAGGAGGGAACCGTCACCCCAACACAGATCTGGGCAGATGGTCCAGGGAGCACAACCTCTTTCGTCCACGTGTATTCAAAGGAGCAAAGACAGGAACCGTGTCTGGAAGCAGATTCAGCGCAGGTGCGATGACTGCTCCTGGCTAGGAGGACGGAGCACCCAGGAAAGGAAAACGAAACTGAAGACAGTGACCCTTGACAATAAAGAAAACTTGGATGAGGTGGAAGAGGGGAATGCGAGCTGTTAAAACGGCAGCATGTCCTTGCCATGTATCGGTGAAGGGCACATAGTATTTCTCTTGGTTGAGTCACAATCTCCTATCAGAATCGGCCGTGTCTTTATAAAGGCCACAGTGGTCATGGGGACATGTCCTTTCCAGGCAGTCATTGAGGGATTCAGCTGGGCAATTGCTCAGCCTTCACACCTGCCTGACAAAGGTTGTTCAGTCATCAGCAACACCAGTTCCAAACACTAGCTGGAAAGGAGCGTGGTCAGATCGCATGGAACTTAGCGTAGACGCCACCATCAAAGGACTATGTTGTTGGCAAGACTCAGGGTCATGGCCATGGAACTGCAAAGAGAGAGAAATTTCTGGTGGAAATGTGACCTAATGAATGCTGTGCTCCTTGGGCAGTTTCTCCACAGGGCAGAGTAATCAAAACCACGGGTGAGTGTTTTCATTAGACATTCCCGAGGCAGGATGGTTTCCCTTATAACCAGTGAAAGAGCCACAGAAAACATTCCCACTCACTCTACTGCTCCACTGAGGGCCTGGAAGCAACCTGGGATTTCACATTGCTCATCAGTGGATTTAGAAAAGGAACAAAAGGCAAATGGCTGCCTGGAGGTTGCCAGGCCAAAGAGAGGAAGTAGAACATGCTGTGAGGCTTGAGATATGGACCATACCCAGGACTAAGGCAATGATCACTCCCAGAGGATCCACAACAATGGCAGTGACTGGAATTAAGCCAAACATCATGACAGGGTCACTTAAAGTTGTCTGGAAGGCAGAAAGGCTTTAAGATTAGAAACTGGATGGGCTCTTGCCCATCAGAGGAAGCAAAAACACAGAGACTGTGAAATACAACGTGAAGGGAAAGCTGTTATGTGAGGGCATATTTGCAAGCACAGTTTGCAGAATAATAATTTTCCAGCGAGCCCTGAGTGATCAATTAATGCATTTTTAACAAAGTTAACATTAAACACAATAACCTGGATTTTACACCATAAAGACAGCCTAGAAAAGCACACTCCCTTCTAAAGGAATCTTCTATCAAATCTACTAAAAGTTCAGCTCCATTCTCAAAGTGATCAGAAAATACAAAGAAAAGACAATGGGAAAGCAGCAAGGCCTGTCCCAGTGGATCTGAAAAGAGAATTGATGATTTTTATACTATTTTTTAAAATTCACTTTATCCAAAGTTAGAAGGTAAAATACTACATACACATGATGTATTTTAAAGGAGCAGAGAGAAAAATCAACTGATTTCATGGGGAAATCTGCAATTCACTGGAAGGGTCTGCGTGTCCCCAGCAGCCCCTGGTGGGTGAGCGCAGCTGCCACAGTGAACAGGCATGTCCAGGTGGCACCAGAGCCTCCTGCCCACTCCCCGCCCAGAGGTCGAGGCACAGTCACCCTTCCTCACTGGGCCCGCACTTGCTGCCTGGCCACGGCTATCCTGGCTGGTCCACATCGCCTGCCAGATACCTGCAGGCATTGAAATGCATAACATTTAGTCCCAACCTTTCTCTCAACAACCTATCTGGACATTTCCATCTACAAAAGAGGAGGGAACATCTCTCACTACCCCTCTGGGATATTCTTGTGCTTGTGAAATAATCAAGTGATCATCAAAGAGTTTAGAAGGAGCAGAAAAACAGATTTAATCACATGTGTAGAGGAACCTAGGAATGCAGAGAGAGGATTCCAAAGACAGGGAGGCAAATCTGGGCACCTACCTAGTTAAGAGGACAGGGGATTTGGGCTCCATGGGGACTGTAGGGTCAGTGCCTGACTGTAGGGTCAGTGCCAGGAATTCACACATCAAAGGACAAATGCTCTGCCCAGGAACTCAGAGTGGCTCTTCACAGAGAGGTCACACCGTGTAGCAACCTCCTTCTGATGAGAACCCTATCTACAGGCTTCTGGGTAATTGGGGCCTGATGGAAGTTTCTCCAGCATGTGCCTGGCTCCACTGGCCTCCGCTGGAAATAATCTGTGTGTCAACAAGGGGCACTGTGGGAAGACCTGACCTTCTCAAGTGAAGGTGCTGAGCACATGGCGCCAGTAGAGACCCTTTCTTGGCCCCCAGGCAGGAGGGGACAGTCCTTGGAGTTCTCTGTGGATGAGGGGTGCTCTCCCTGGACTCCCCACTTCCCCTGTAAAGCCAGGCATAGAAAATGAGAGTCCTTCCCCGTAAGGTGTGGAAAGCTTTCTCCAGTGGCATATAAGATTTCTCTTTACCTCCACACACTACCTGGCATCCATGAGTGTCGCAGGGTCTACCTGTTGCGTTGCACAGTGAAGGCTGGTGTATGTCAACATCACTGAGCCACTGTGATCAACATGACAGACAAAGGGTACGAGGAAGGCTCTCCATGGCTGCATGACTCGTGTCCTGCCGGAGAACAGAGGCAGACTTAGGGGGGCTTATTTTAGAATCTTACAGAAAAATAAGTATGTTTTGCTGCAGATGAGAACTTCCACCAGCATATCCCATCACCACCCCGGAAAACCAAGCAGCAGCCGGAGGAGACGTCCTTCCTGAGACCAGACAGGACATGGGGCTGGGGAGCCAGCCCCCTGCAGAAGCTGCAGGAGAAAGGAACACACACTCCCACAACGTGCTTTGGTGATTTTCTGGCTGCACAACATTTCCCTTCTGGCAGCTCCAATAACATCATGTTTACCTCCCGGGTGCTGTTAGCGGGCCCAGGTCACTCACTGGGTGCTCTGCTCAGAGGCTCTGGCAGCTGCAATGAAGGGACAGTGGAGACTGAGGTCACCTCCAGGCACAACCACAAGCTCAGGGACAGGCTTGTGGGAGGATCCAGTTCACCGTAGGCTGCCAGGATGGGGACCCTCTCACTGCAGGGAAGGCTTGCCGCGTCCTTCCTGTCTGGGCCTCTCCACAGAGCACCTCATAACAACAGAGGAAACACGCTATGAGATTCTCCTTGAGTGAGCATGACACAGAGAGTGTGTGTTATGTATATGTGTGTGTGTGTGTATGTGTGTGTGTGCAAGACAGAAGTCACATTCTTTCATAATCACTTCATAATCTCCGACAGACATCACTTTCACCATTTTCTATAAAGCAGAAGAAAATTACTAGGTTGAGCACATGCTTGACAGAGGGGATGACATAGGACATGAATACAAGGAGGGGACACTGGGCACTGTCTGAGCATCCCCAGACCACACGTACCAAGCCGGAGGGAGCAGGAGGAACAGGGTCTGCCGCTCTGTCTTGCCATCTGGTCACTTCTCACCACGCGCCCACAGGCCGGTCAGGACTAGGAGCTGGAGCACAAGGGAGTCAGGTGCTTGATCCACAAAGGTCATCCTCAGACCACGCAGAGATGGAAGGAAACACAGGGACGCAGAGAATGGACAGCAGGTAGTCAGGACTGAGGAATGACAAGACTAGCCATGGACAGTCGTGGAATCATATTCCCTGGAAGACAAGACACCACAGAGGACAAGCCGCTCACTCAGACCATGGAGTGGCCTCTTTCCTTTCATATTCCTGCCCTGTTCAAACAAAGGACCCATATTTAGAGCAACAGTGAGCTTGGGGATTTCTGCACCTCACCACCCGCTGTCACTTCCCCCGTTCTCATCTCTGAGGCTGGGGTGAGCCCGGCAGAGGGAGAGGGCTGAGCAGGGACATCAGAAATGCCCTGATCTTGACAGATCTAGCTTAAAATGACAACACAAATAATATGCCTGGTAGATACTTTGTTGTAACACGTGATTTAAGTAAGAAGCTGTAATCCCAAAAGACCTAGAGTGTTGTCAAAGAATGTTACCTCAATTGAAAACTCCCTGAAACTCTTGCCACGCCAGTCATCAGAGCTGCCATGAGCTGGAGACCACAGAGGCCCGGTCCCTGCCTGCAGCCCGGCCTGAGGAGAGTCAGCACCAGCACACGCAGAAGCGCAACTTGGTGTCTGGACTCGGCTTCTCCCCACCCAGCCCCTCACCCGGCCCCTCTTTTGCCAAAACTCTCTTCTTTCACCACTGAGCACCACCCTGCACCAAATCTATACACGCCACGTGCCTTCTGTGAGGAACTAGGACGCCGCACACCTCGACAGGAGTTTGTGGTCCAAAATCACATTGACCTATAGCTTCTCACTAAACCCCAAACTCTCCCGTGATGACAAAGGAAAGCCCCACAGAGTTTGTCTGCCGATGACAGCGATGTCTCCTGTGTGCAGCACAAATGCAGAACTCAAACCCGGGTCCTTAAATCTCTGCTCCAAGGAGCAAGGACTCATAATTCACAGGGAATTGTTTGCTTATCTGGGTTTTCCCTCATGGATCAGCATCCACGTCAGGGAGCACCATCTGGCAACACCAGGAATGATTACCCTCCTGTAACCACAACGTTCTCACGGCGATGAGGACTGAAGACGGGGTGCCTGCAGGGGCTTGGGGGCATCCTCCCAGGACGTAGACAACCAGTTGAAGGCAGGCAATTCCCAAAAAGACATTGGTATATTTAGCCACCCCGTGTGGAAGGGAGGGAGGTGGGAGCTCAGGCACTGTGGCCTGAAGAGAAAGGATCACTCCTGAGAGAAAGTCTCCCAGTCCCTGGAATGAGTCCAGGGGAGGCTGAGGTAGGAGGCCGGCGCGTGATGTCCGAGCCGCGAACCTCCTGCCGGAAAGTCACCAGGAAGGAGGAAACCTACCCATACCCTCCAGAGACACATTCCAAATCCTCCCGCAAGACTCCCTCTGCCTCGGGGCCCGGAGAGCCCAAAGATAGGAACCCAAAGGGCAAGTGGGGTGGGGAGGGGGCGAGGGAGCAGGCATGCTCCGGGTTACAGGAAAGGCCTCCCACAGGCCCAGTCCTTGGCCGGCCCGAGCGCGCCGTGTGGACTTATCAGGAGACCTCAGGGGAAGAGGGCAGAGGACACGAGGTCACTTGTGTCAACGTGGCTCCTATTGGCCCTTTATCTCCTTAAAAGGGGCCCAGTGGTCAGCCTGGACAGAATCCTGGACCCTCTGCGGATTCTCTGGCTGCGTCACCCCATCCCTCAACATGAGAGTCCTCGCTCTGCTGTTCCTGGCGGCTCTGGCCGGGACCCTGGTTCTGGCTGGTGAGTGTGGCCTTCCCTGCGCCCCCCGCTCTTCCATCTCGCCTGAGCTCTGCCCTCCCCTGTCTCTCCCCCTGTGCCCTCCTGCTCCCTCTACCTCTGCCAGCGTCTGCCCCCCCTGCCCCTGCACATGTTGCCTCCTCACCCCACTGAACAGGAGGGACCCCTGCCTCTCAGCCTGTCCGGGCTCCCCCTCCACACAGCCCCTCTCACACGGCTACAGCCTCGCGGCTCCTGCAGGAGCTCTGGGCCCCCAGGCACTCAGGCCATGGTCCCTCCAGGCAGCAGCAGGGGCTGCAGAAGGACACAGCCCGGGACCCGCGGGCCAGGCCCAGTGCAGCCTGTGGTGGGGACTCTCAGGCCCTCCTGCAGCACAAGGCGCTGCTCCTGCTGGGAACACCCCGCTGCCCCTCTCACATCAGCTCCCCTCTCGTCGGTCTTTCATCTACAGGACAGCTTTCTCTCCCCCTGTCCCCGCACAAACCAACAGGGAAGGTCGCCTGACTGCACCTTCCTCCTCTGTCATCTCTACCGAGAGACGATTCCTCCAAAGAGCCAGCCATGCACAGCAGAATAGATTAGACCCTGCTGGCTCTCTCTGGAGACTTGGCTGAATGTCCCTTCCAGCACTACCCACACGGGGGGCGCAGGATTCCATCACGGGGTGCAGCTTCCAGGCAGGGGCATGTCCGCCTTCCTCACACTGAAGCTGCATCAGAACCCCCTGGCCTGGGCCCCGGGCTGCGCTGTCCTGCACACTGGGGAGCTGCACCCCCTGCCATGGTGCTGGCCCTCACAGGGACCTCAGGCGCCTCCCAGGCCGCAGCCAGCAGGGAAGAGAGTTTGCAGGGAGAGTCACGCAGCTCCGAGCGGCCCCTGGTTAGAAACCTGCACGAGGACGCCCGGTGCAGCCGCACAGAGAGCAGCGGCTGGAAGACATGATGCGGCCCAAGGGCCCGATGTCCCCATGTCCTTAGTTTGCTGACACCTGAGGGTGAGGATGAGGGGGGGCTCAGGTGTCTGGGGTCAGTCCTCACTGTGTGTCTCATCTCTTGCAGACGATGACCCCTCCGAACGCAAAGAGGATGTCTCCCTGGACACTTTGATTTGTAAGTCCCCCCGCTCCCGCTCAGGAGGACGTGGTCTCCCCTGGGAAAGGCATGGAAGCTGGGAGAGAGATCCTGGGGATGGGGTTTGGTGTCCTTACGGAGTGATCATGCCGGGAGCATGGACTGGGATGGAACAAGGCCAGGACCACTAGGAGCGCCAGGCAGCCTAGTCACGGGGAGACAGGGGGCAGGTTTCTCAAGAAGGACAGGACGCGAGATGAGATTAAGGGATAAGGAAACACTGTCCTGCTGTTAATTCCTCACCCTCAAACATAACCCTTCGCTGCTCTGTCCATGTTATTACACCCCCACCAGCTTCTACCTGTTTTCCAGCCTCTTTCCAACATCCTCATGTGCCACCCACTCGCCGAAACAGACCACACGGCCCCACACACGCCTGTCCCTGCGACCCTTCCCGCTTACTCTGCTCCTCTAAGGAAGCCCCTTCAGCATCTTCCCTCCTGACCCCTGCCGCCAAGGCCCAGCTTCTCTCTCAAAAGCTGCCTCTTTCTCCCCATACCCGGGGCCACACCCTCCACGACCTTCCTATGAGAGGCCCCTGCCCTGCCCTCTTCCCAGAGACACCGTCAGTCCATGCAGGCCGCTACAACAGCCACCATGGCTTAGACTACGGAAATCTATTGTCACAGCCCCGGCGCTGGAGTCTGAGGTCAGGGAGTCAGCGTGGTCGGGACGGGGGAGGACCCTCCTCTAGGTCGCAGACACCAACCTCTTGTAGCCTCATTTGGCAGAGTGATCTCTCTGCTCTCCATTTCGAAGGGCCCTAATTGCATCCATGGGAGCCCCACCCAGTGACCTATCACTCTGGGGTTACACGGTCCATATAGGAATTGGGGCATCAACAGATGTTTGTCCGCACAGTTGTAGCATGTACAGGTCCTGGCACTTACAGATGTTGTAGCATATATATAGATCTCTCTAGCAGGCAACAGTTGTACAGTGTCTCCTCTTCATCCTGCACCCAGTGTGAGGTATCCTGAGTCGTGACACAATGCAAAGGAAATCAACAAAGCGCCAGAATTTACCATTCTTAAGTCATACAGAGCCCCACTGAGCATGTGCCGGGAGAGCCACATGTGATACCTGTTTTGGAAAAAACAAAAACTTTGCCTTTACTAATCTCAAAACTTGACGTCTTACAGCTCAGCTGGAAGA